CGACGAGAGTATAGGAGAAACAAAATAAGTTAGTTGCAAAACGGAGAAAAATTTTAACTAGGAAATCGGAGGATGCGCAAAAGGCAAAGTGTACGTATCGATTGTTCACCAATTCTCCAGTTAATACAGTCATTCGATATGTATTTCTCCAGTCTCGAATTCTCCACATCGTTATCTTCTCCTCTGCATATCCTCCGATTCACCACTGTTGCGAGCGGCGGAATAGTGAGAACTCAACATGAAAACGTACCGGCGACTTGCGTTCAACGTCTCCGCTTCTGCCACAGTTTCAAATTCAGGCAGGGTTTCGTGGCCGTCAAGTATATCGCAGCCATCCAAAGTCTCCTCTCCTGTTATGACGTCGCTGCCCTCGAGAGCCTCGCTAGCCTCTGGGAACAGTCCGGCCTCTACATATTCCACATCGTCATCTGGAAAGTAACCGTTGATAGCAGAGGACATTATTTCCTGAAAAATAGCATGTTTTCCTTAGGAAACCTACAACCAACGAAGTGTGTAGAATGCGAGGTGCTCGCTGGTATATCTAAGAATGGCTCTCCCACAACGTCCACTTCCACGTCCTCTTCATACCTAAATTTCTAAGGAAAAGTATATGGATCGTGCCAGACGCGGCAAACAAAAGGCGACAAAACAAAAGTCGTAGCGTAGTCCAGCTTTGATTTGGGGTGGGGCGCATTTTGCACTTTCGCTACTTGAACGTGTCGAGCCATCAAGTTGAGACCTGGGAAATTTTGTGTAGCCACGAAGTGCTACCCGTCAAAGTTCGTAGAGACCACCTGTCTATTTTTGTAAACACTACTTGTTAACTCTAGTGAAACATGAACACGTCGGAGCTGATGAAAATGAAAAATACCCTCCTGCTCCTCCTCAGAGCCGACTTGCGCTAGCGCTCTTAATATAAAAAAAGGATAAAGTCTTCGCCGTTGATCAATCCCTTTGTGGGATGCGGCACGCATTCTACTTCCATTCAGAATCGTAGTGGCTTATTGAATGCGATGTGGCCTATACAATGACTTGCGGTGGCCAGCCGATGTACAAGTCAGTGTTTTATCCTCCCAGACGAATCTGGTACCAATTTACCGTCCCCGGAGGGTAGAAGGCTTGGTTGGCCTGGGCGGGAGTCGACCCGGGATTTGAACCCGGCGCCGCGCGAGTGGTAAGCGCGCCACTTGTCACTACACCACCTCCGCCTCGCCCTTAGTATATAGGCGGCAAACCTATTGTGAGCTAGGGATGGGAATTTTCATATCTCAACCGCAGAAGGAGCGCGGGTTACATGAATGACTTCTCTCACTCCTCAACTCCTTT